CAGCTAAAGCTGTCTTTTTACTCAGTATGCAAGCTACCTTATCGGAATTGAATTCGCATTTTTATTTTTGCCGACTATGAGCTGGTTAATAAGCCGAGAACCCAATCGGAGTACAACGAAGGGAAAATGGTTCTCCTTGGGTGGTAAAAATACATAGAAAGCCAACGTGACATTCAGAGAGTTATCATTTTTGTACCTACCCCTTTCTTGTAAAATTTAAGAACATTTGTTTGGTTTTCTGATTATTAGACTGTTTATATTTTCAAATTTCGCATTAAACTATATACAGCAAAACTTATTTTTTAAACATATTGAGCAGAGCGGAGCCCATGGTATATTTCACACGCAAGTTAATAATCACACTATAACTCTTCCACGGCTGAAAGGCCGAAAAGTTTCGTCGACTGGTTTCGATCCCGTGATTCGCAAATTGCCAATCGAACTCTCTAAGCACCAGCCCATGTCAGGCCTCAGAGCGATTTAATGATAAACTCGTGACTTTCTTTCATTTTGATGTGCAGTGACTTAGAAAAGTGTAGTACCGATTATTATCATGTAATAATTAATGGCACCTTAGGAAAACATAACTTACAAATAGTATTGGCCGGGCGTGTACTAGTATTTATCGTGCTTGACTGTGGTCTGTTTTTTGACGTAAAAAAATATACTGCTTCCCATTGTGAGAGCGTGGAAGCATTATAAGAGCTACTGTCATATTCCACTATTCGAATGGACTAGTTATACGTGTAATAATGCTACATTTATCAAAAGCGAAATGTTTAAATGAAAACTGTGCAGATGAAAATAAATAATTCATGGGTGAGTACCGTACTACAGAAGCAATATAATGAATATTTAAAATTAATGTACACAAGCTCTGCTGAAACCTGACAGGATGTCCAGTAGTAATGGCACCAGTAATAGTGTAATGTGTGAAAATGTTCAACCTTTAGCTCCCAAAGAAAAACAAAACGCAAAAAAATCACGCATCTAAAATTTCATTGCTCATTGCGGTATTACTGGTGTAGATTTTTTAGAGATTCCCGTGAGAGAATGAACCGTGCGTTCTAGCAGAGTCAGCGAAATTATCGAGCGGTAAATTCCAAGCAATTTGTTAAAGTGTAGGATATAAGGACATATTTAAATGCTAAAGTTCAACCCTAGCGAAGCAATAAGCCCTAAAACCCTCACACATAAATATCTGACCCTGTAAAAACAGAGAAGAAAACACTTAAAAGCTTATCCACTTCATATTCTTCAACAAAAACTTGCCGTCAAATGAACCCAATCCTCACTTTAATATCTTATTTACCTTTAACATATTTTTAAAAAATCCATGTTATTACGCTTACTTTTAACACTATCAGCCAGCTGTTTCTCATTAGATCTTTTTATTAGTTCTTTGTGCTTAACTACAAACAAACAAACAAAATCAATCTCTGATTTTATTTTCTCTTTTATGTCCTTAGTGAGCCAATGAGGTTTGGATTTCATTTACTCTTTACTTTATTTTAATAATATGTTTTTCCAGGAATAAAAGCATTTTTTTTGTTTTCCAAATCTGTCCCACGTTACTGTTTACTTATTATCACAACTCTATAATGAAAATTTGTGTCTCATGAACTCAAAATCGTTTTTCTCAAAATTAGGAACTGAAATTTTATTGTTTTTGATCTCAAAATATAAAAAATCATCATATACAATTATGTAATGACCACTCTTCCCCAAATGTTCACTCCCTACTTCAACTCTTGTAACTATAGTCTCGTTAATGAATAACAATAAATCGAAAATGTTATTTTTCTGGTAAATTCCTTGAAAATATATGGTTTTTTTTGGTAGGTTCCCTGACCGTTTAGTATAGAAAAGCCAACTCGAATCACTTCAAGAAGCTTCTCTCCCTTACGTATGATTCATGTTGACGCATGGATACTAAGATAACAATGGGACTATGAATGCTGTGTCAGGATTATTGCTGCCTTACTCTCTCCCTTATTATTTGATTTCGTATAATTCCAATTTGGGTTTCTAAAATTAAAGTATACTGTTAATCATCATATTTGTATCCTTGTTGTTGTCCCATTTGAAATAACTCTTAATCTCATATTATAACTTATATATAACTTATCCTTAAGTAAGATATATTCGGGTACTTTTTCCTCAATTTCTTGCAGGTGTTCTGCCTATAGTTCTGAGAACAGAGTTAAATTAATGTAGAAACGTCGTAAACACGTATTAAATCACTTTACACAGGAAAGGGTTATATATCAACTTAAGTCTCGAGCTAGCTTTCACACATTTCTGTATGTACTTTTAAAAAGTTTTCATATTTAAACAGATGATACAGAAACCTGTACAAACTGACTTGGGATTGTTAGAAGTGTATTTGAAACATTGGTTGAAATAAGTGGCCCATGAAATTGTAGGACATCACTCTAATGACACCAATCGAACAATAAAAGTGGGGTAAGTACACATCTCTTGATTTTGCTCTTCACTTCAACAACCAGATGTAGTCCAGTTTAGTTATATAATCTCTTCAGATATTTGTAATTAAAATTTGTATTATTTGCTTACTTGTATTCGCTTGTTTTTTGTTGTTGTCGTTTTTTTTTTCGTTTTTTTTCTTTGCTCTTCACATGCAATTTTTTCTTTTACATAACATTTCCAGAATTTTTGATTTCACAGAAACTTTTGACTAAGTGCTGGCTATCAGTGTACCTGAATACCACATTAGTAACAGTCCTGAACTCATTATAAAATTTATCTTTGAGCTTATCTGACCGATCAGATGACTTATAACAATTAGCAATTAAAATATTCATACCCTTGAAACCTCCAATTAAAAACAATAAAGATTCAATCTCCTTTTTATGTAGTCTGTCTCAGCAGGCTGCCGCTGATCTCTTAAAAAGATAACCATTCCATTCCTACTTTTCAACAGCCTATCATTATTAAATAACTTATCTGAAAGATCAAAATAATTCTCATTACCAATATGTGTGATATTCTCATGAGCACTGATTTAACTATAAGTACTCGGGTAAATTCTGCAGAGTAACAGAAAGTCTGTCAAAAAAATGTAAAGCAGAGGAAAATCTGAAATATCTAACCACGACTGAGTTCGAGGAAAAGAAAGATACTGAGACTGGACACAATGTAGAACACTGTGGAACAATCTTTACTCAATTAAACAACAATCAAAGTTTGAGTAAGTGTATCTTCGGGCATCTACACTGAAGAGTTCTCAGAAAAGAAATTTGTCGAATCTGCAATAATCTAAATCTGTTCCAAACTGAGAAAACATGGCATTACATACATAAAACAATAATGCTATTCTACTATTCTAGCGCACGAGTTTCGACATCAAACAGGAATATTTCTTCTAAAAGAGATGAAAGATGTGACCTCGCAGACAAACCTTTATTCTGTTTATAAATTTCATTTCCTATCTTAAAATAACTAGTACATAACTAGGGTGGAATATACTTAGTGGCTTCCTTGAACAACTTTCTGTATTTAAATTGCATCGAGAAAGTTGGGTTTACTGTTCTTTACAATACTGTAACATCGTACTCAATTATAAATTGCTATTTTTTCGACAACAATTATTCTTAAGTTTTTACTGTGTTTTATTTAAATATATTGAGTGTAAGAGATACTATAATATTTTTAGTATTGACATATACACACTTTTCAAACACCATAAGAGGGCGCCCAAATACATCCACGCAAGAAAGTCATGGAAACTAACTTCCGAAATATGTCTGACTGGTAAACTAGTTGTAAAATTAGGCAGACGTGTACTGGTGTTAAAACTTAAATTCACATTGTATTTACATCATTTGTCAGTGTCCATGTAGATGACCATTGTAGGCCTAAAATTGAGTAAATAGAATACTTATTGAAAGCAAAGAACATTGAGACAGTGGCTGAGATGTTTCAATTATTTGTTTATGAATAATGATATATATATATATATATATATATATAATCATAATGTATATATCGCAAGTTAATGTACAATTGTAATTACTAGATTAGTACAGACTAGTGTAATTGTGATTAGGATAATAATTGAATTAGACTCCAATGTTTTATTTTTAAGTTTTGTCCTTTAAACATTCACCTACTTTTAAAATTTAAGAGAGGTAAATTACCAACACCAGACTCTGGGGTTCTAGTTATTTTTACATTGATTCTTTGAACATTCACATTAGACATAACCATTCTCTTGTTAACGACTAGTGGGTCTAAAGAAGTTGTAGATATTTTAACTTTGCTTGGATGTAAATAAGTATTTTTGTTGTTGTTGTTGTTTCTCTTCAGGTTTTATAAATTCTGTATTGTTTTAACTATTTGTTCTATGATGCTAATACTATTTTTATTAATACTACTTTAAAATTAATTAAAGTTTGTTTTAATTTTAAAGTTTAAGCTGCTGAAATTGAACTAAATTTTAAAATTAGGTTGACTAATCAGTAAAGAAAAGTACAAAAATCAACTTAGTCTTAAGCTTAAGCCTAAGCTATTTTGAATAAGGATATGATTATTTATCAATTTAATGTTTTCTTTCAATAACATTCACCTATTGTTGTGTTTAGTTTACAATGTAATTTATTAATCCTTAGGGACATAGTACTAAAATGGTTATTTTATTATTTTTTGTGTTACCTTGTAAGTTGTAATGTTATTTTAATGAATATTTTCTTTTGCTTATTTATATACATTGCACTTGTTTGTTCCTCAGTCAAATTTGAGATAAATTGCTCATATGAAGTTCTAACTTACCAATCTGATTTTTCTCACAAAAAAGGCAACAAAATATTCATTATGTTTTTTGTAAAATGGTACAACTAAAGATCTGCAGAGAAAATATGTTCTTAACAAGAAATTCAAACATTTTCATAATTTTTTGTATGACTCAAAGTTCTGTAAGTGAAATATCTGACAAAATATAACTTATGCACTAGTTGTACATTTTGTCATTTAATCTAACAAATAATTGGTTGTATTGGGCAGTGGAAGGCATATCCTAGAATCTGAAAGTAATCATTTCCTTAAGTTATATTCTAACTTTTTAAATATTATTTTCATTTACAGTATTGATTAAATGTTTATTGTATAAATTTTTCTTTGATATTAATATATGGATTATTTTACTTTGTTAGCTAAGCATATAGATTTAGGACTAACCTAAATCTCCTAACGTGGCCAAACTTTGTATTATATTATTAGGATTACAATCAACTATATCACTATCAATAAGGTTACCCAACTAACGAAGCAGTGCATTCTAATCATAATAAGTATGAACAGTATATTAAGTTAACTATATTTATTACTTGGTTAATTTTTAGTTCTGGTCTGTGTTGGTAGCTTACATTGGTTAGAAGTTAATGTTAATTAGTTAATGGATGATATTTGATTATCAAATTCTTTTTTTTTAGAGATTTTTTTGTATTTAAAAAAGGTGGTTGTAAATGTCATTACATCCAAAACTTTTTAAATTCCTATCTATAGAATCTAATTTCCTTTTTTTTAGATTCTTAACATATAGAAAAATAAGCAAAAGATAAAGATATTGTGGAAAAGCTATCAGTGACTCCCTCTGTAGCTATAAGCAAGTAGCATGTCAGTTTCAATCTCTATCCCAGAACTGCTGCAGACACCAGTAAAGAGGAGGAGTCTGTGGCGGGTAGGTTTAAACTTATTAAGCAGGTGTAAAAAAAGTAAACCTATTAATTTAGTTGGTTTTATTTATCATTATTTTTGACAGTTGGTCATTCATTTGAACTAGTAGTTCTATTCATGTCAGTTTTTTTATTCTCAGTACCTGTTATTTTGCTATAATACAGGGCTCAGAAGACGAGCAGAGTTGTTACTTTCAGTTGATTCGATGCTATTATTAATAGAACATTACTTTGTGCAAAATTTATAGCAGGTTTATATTCTGTGAAGAAGAAGAATGGCTCTTAAAAAGTTTAACTTTCATTTCATTCAACATCTCTTTTGAGCTTGACCAGTTTTTGGAAGTATCTTGTTTTCTGTACCTCTAACTTAGGCCAAAGAAAGGACTAACATATGTGCATATATATAAATTTTTTTTCACTTTAAAATATCAATATCATTTATTAGTTAACATAACTTTAATACGATTGCTCATTCAAACTTGTTCAGGGTCCTTTTACAAATCATGTAATAAATGCTAATTAAGTAACCAAGTTCTTAATGAATATTAGCTATATTTGTTTCCAATCCTCCTCCCCCCAAAAAAAATACGTAAAAAAACTCATTCAAGCTTAATTATTATTTTAAGTAAAAAAAACTGAGTTTAATTTTGATAATGATTTGTGTGATTTCAACATTTTCATTATAAACAGTCATGTTAATTTATTACACATTTGTTATTTTTTATAGGAATGGAATCAGCTACCAAGATTTCTTCGACTTGTGTTACTTCTTATGTTTGCAATGACTGGTTTTTCAGTGGTTTATCTATACTCAATACTTTCGGCAGAACTTCCTTCAGTGAAAAAGAGCAGAGATTTTACACAGAAGCATTTTGAACAAAATATTATCCCTACTGAAAGGAAGGAGTCAGTTGCTGAAGTTCAGCAAATTGAACCCCCTCATAATAAGAGCAAGGAAGAGGTAAGTATTTGTTTGTATATTTAAATAAAATTTTGAACACCACATAATTCATAATTTATGTTGAATAGAAACATTTTCTAATATGTATGTTTTAATGTTTATGTATTTACTTAAAAATGTCTCTTAATATTGAAATAATATCTTTACCTACACTTTGAATGACTATCATTTTCTTGTGTTAATTAAGGAAACTTCTAATAGATCAAAACAGACTTTATTACAAGTTTAATTAGCTATTAAACTACAGTTTGGACTTTGTACCTGTAGAAGCATGACTTATAATACAGTCCCTTCACAATTCAGATGAAAATATATCAAAAATATTCTGATGGCATGATACTGTGTACTAAGACTTGTATGTAAATCAGAATGATTAGAACCAGTAAGATGACAGAAGGCTTTATGGCTCATTAACAATAGCAACACGTTACTTATTTTGTACAAATTTGCTAGTAATAAAAATATGATTGTTAAAGCTGATATTGAGAATAAAGTTTATTTGATCCAGGAGATTTGCATAATCTTAATGAGTTGCCTTTAAAATTGTTTAAATATTAATGTATAAGAATTTTAAAGGGTTTTATAATTTGTTTAAAGAACCTTAAGATTGCATATAAAGGATTTGAATGTTTTGAGTTTTTGACTGTGATTAAAGAAGCTAACAAGTGTTGTTCCTACCATTTTATAAATATACATGATTTAGAATGTTGTGTTCAGTTTGGGCCTTTTTATTACAGAAAATGTACAATATTGTTTTGCAAAAAAAAATACAGAAGTGTACTGTAGTAATAAGTTATGGTTTGAAAGGTAAAATATAATGTAGAAACTTTCACATTTGACATTTGTAATAAAGAATTTTGAAAGGGAGTTTGATTTCAGTAATTAAAATGACTAATAGTTTCAATAAATTACATGTTGTCAGTCTTTCTGGTTACTGGGAAAATAAAGTTAGAGGTAATAGTTACAAACCTTACAGAAATATTGAATACAAGTCAAAAGAGGTTATAATTTCATTGTATAGGTCACTGGTTTGGCCACATACCATAACATAATGTTTTGGGACAACATGAACCCTATTGGTCCATCTCAGCTGTTCCATCCTCTAAACTAAATTAAAATAATTATTAAAAAATCTGAAAGTCAGCCCTTATCATTCATATACTCATCAAGCTTTTTCTTAAACTCATTTAAATTTACTGCCTCTACAACATCTGAAGGCAACCCATTCCAAAAGCCAACCACTCTGTTAGAAAAATGAAACTGTCTTAGCTGAAGATGACTCCTATCTTACCAAAATTTATATTTGTGTCCCCTAGTCCTATTATTATCACTGTTAAATATGAAAAAAGATGATACATCAACACTATCAATTTCCTTTATAATATTAAACACCTCAATCAGATCCCCTATAACTCTTCTTTTTTCAAGAGAAAACAATTTGAGAGATTTCAGCCTCTCCTTGTATGACAACCCCTCCATCTCGGGCACCATTTAAGTAACCCTTCTCTGAACCCTTTCCAACAATTCAATGCCTTTCCTAAGGTAAGGAACCCAAGAACACAGTATCATTTGTTGGTCTGTAACAAATTCCCACTAAAAACCTTTTCCCTTAAATTTAAGTTAAAAGTAAATGTGCCTAAAAACCAACATGAAACTAAGCCTTTCAAAGTTTTACTTATTTCCTTTAATATTTATTCCCTTACTATTATTCGTACCAATCAATAACTGAAGGTGGGAGATATATTAATCTGCTTACCTGCTAAAGTTTGTAATACCTGAAATCAAGTCACTTCTTGTATCTTTCAAAGGAAAGTTGTTCACTAAACCAGACTTCATTAATTGAAAGTTCTCATATCACATAGCATTCGTTTTACCAATTCTGTACTGTCAGAAGTGACATGCAAAATAATGAATTCTTTTTAACCATTTGATCTTGTAAGTAGATTCTGTTAGCTTTATTCAGCACTAATGATGACATAATTGAAGCTAATTATTTATAGATAAATGCAAGTGTAAGTTGATTGCCTGATTATAACGAACAATTACCATGTGTCTAATAACACTTAACAATGTAACTGATCTGAAAATCCAAAACTCTCGGAGCTAACATTCCATCCATTGGAACGACTGGAATAAAGATTTGATTTATTTTCATTTCCATAACAAGTTGTGGTGAAAAGGCTGTATTATGTTATGCAACTTTAAATAAAAGTTTCTTGTTCATGATTAATAGATGATTTAATTACCTTGTAAATGATTACATGAATATTTACATGTAATATGTGTGTGAAGAAAATGTGCCATTAAAACTTTGGATATATATATGTGTGTGTGTGTGAAAACATGCGTGAATTAAAATAAGTATGGATGTTTACAGAAATATCTTTATACATACTAATTGGTTAAATATATATGGAGCAAAAGAAAGTATTTTTCCTTTCAGCAAGAGTCAACAAAACGTATCATATATGTACAGTCCATTTCCACTAAGTTTTCACGTTGAAACATTTTTGCCTGTAAGAAAATTGACAAGAAGAATACAAAATGCAAGTTGTGTAAGCAACATTTATAAAACTCCTCCCCAAATACACAAACTATTATCTACAATATTAGAAAATAAAGTGAGTGATCTTAATTAAGGTATTTTAATTTGTTATGCCCATAAACTATAAATAAATTCATATATGAAGTAGGGGAAAAAAAAACTTTCGCACATTTAAAGCTAGTTCATAATATTCTTGCAGAGTGATGTAATGTTCCAGTCTTTGTGTTTACTAAGCCAATCCCAATGAGATCAAGAGAAACTCTGATAAGAAAACAAAGTATGGGATTTTAGCTCTTCTTCATATTTTCTAATTTTAATTAAAGGATTTACACGTGTTTGACTAATTATTATTTTTTCACAGGGCAAAGATTTACTGAAAAAGTTTTCCATTCGGAATGAAATAAAACGTTTCGAAATTGAAGAAGCAGGTAAGCTTAAAAAAAAAGTGGTTACAATTGCACGTATAAAACTTAAGTGCTGATTTTTAGTAAAAAAAAAAACAACTTGTGACAATAAACAGCTAACTACTATCACCTTACTAAGTTATTAAATTTAGTACATCTGTGTATACATGCTATTATAGGATAGGTTTTTATCTTCAGATTAAATTCTGGATATCTATAAATGACTGCACATAATTTGAAGCATGGTGTTAAATTTAGAAAGATAGGCTTACAGTAAGGTGTGTTTTCATGCAGTACTAATTTTGACAAGTCTGTTATGCACAGGCACTATCTGATCAAACAGTACAATTAAGTGATGGTATAAGTGTTTCAGGGATACGGGAATTGTGTGTCCTATGAGGAGCACTGGACAACCCATCATACAGGAAGACCGTTTTCTGAATTGCTCAACTTGCTTACCTGAATATATTAGAGAATGTTTTTTGGTTGTTGATGGTGTTATTGGTGCTTTTTCAAGAAAGAATGATGGTGTCCTACCCCATTTTACATTTGGTATTCATAAAGACTAACCAAACTGTTGGATTATGTACATCTTTTAACCTATCCGGACCTAACACCACTGAACTTTTGGCTGTGAGAGACACACATCTAGCTACATGCATAATTATTTTATTCTCTTATGGTTGAAGCCCACAGAGTATTACTGACCACACGGCAAATTCATCCATTTAACTAATAGGGAACTGATTTAATTTTTTATAACACATATAGTGTTTTACTTTAAATGTAATTTTCTTATAACACGTATAGTGTTTTACTTTAAATTTAATTTTCTTATAACACGTATAGTGTTTTACTTTAAATTTAATTGTTTATAGCACATATAGTGTTTTACTTTAAATTTAATTTTCTTATACCACGTATAGTGTTTTACTTTAAATTTAATTTTCTTATAACACGTATAGTGTTTTACTTTAAATTTAATTGTTTATAACACGTATAGTGTTTTACTTTAAATTTAATTTTCTTATTACACGTATAGTGTTTTACTTTAAATTTAATTTTCTTATAACACGTATAGTGTTTTACTTTAAATTTAATTTTCTTATAAAACGTATAGTGTTTTTACTTTAAATTTAATTTTCTTATAACACGTATAGTGTTTTACTTTAATTTTAATTGTTTATAACACGTATAGTGTTTTACTTTAAATTTAATTTTCTTATAACACGTATAGTGGTTTACTTTAACTTTAATTTTTTATAACACATTTAATGTTTTACTTTAACTATACTTTTTTATAACACATAGTACTTTGCATTTTTATTTAAAATTGTAAGGATTTTTTTTTGAATATGTAAAAGTAAAAAAAAAATATTGAGTCTTCATCTTTAAAATGTTGTAAAATATTTTGAAATTCCAAATTAACCCTTTCAACACAGAGGGATACCACAGATACCCTTTGATCTCACAATGGAAATACTTAATCAAATTGCATGAAACTGAACAAGTTACTAAGTGGTATATCATTTTTTTATTAAGAGATTACTACTGGTATTAATGAGGATAAAGGTGTGGATGTAGCATATTTAGATCTTCAGAAAGCATTTGACAAGATGACACATAAAAGACTTGTTAAAACTTATCTCTAATGGTGTGGGGATAAGTTAGTTTGTTAGATCGAAAAATGTCTAGAAGGAAGAAAGCAGAAGGTTATTATAAATGGAGTTAAGTCAAACTGGATTAAATGTTGCATAAATTTGTTGATGATGATAAGGTTTTGGCTTCGAGAATGATATAGTTGTTTCAGAAAATGATTGGAATCATTTGGTAAATTGAGCAAATAAGTGGCATATGCTTTCTAATTAGTAGATGCAACGTAATACATATGGGTTATAATTTTGATGTGAATCACTTTAACAGTGTTATGGAAGGAAAGGAACTTGGTATTGTGCATCAGTTACTTAGGTCGTCAAAACAGTGTGCTGTCACTAGTGGTAGGGCAAGTAGAATTTTATGTTTTATTGGCAGATATATTGAATATAATTCTAAAAAAAAAAGGTTATTTCATTGTATAGGTCACTGGTCAGCAAGCATTATTTGTAATATTGTGTTTAGTTGTGGGCTTCTTACCTAAAGAAGGACATTAAATTGTTGGAAATGGTTCAAAGGAGGGCTACAGTGATGATACCTGGGATAGAAGATTGTCATACAAGGACCAGTTAAGACCTCTGAGTTTTTTTTTTTTTTTGCTTCGAAAAAGAACAGTTAAAGGGAATCTGACTCAGTTGTTTAAGATTGTCAAGGGAATTGGTAGTATCAATACTTTTTTTTCTTGCATTCAGCAGTGAGAATGGTAGAACAACAGGGCACAAATATAACTTTAGCATGGTAAGATTCATCTTCAGCTCAGACAGATGTACTTTTCTAATTATATATATTAAATCTATCTAATACTTTAAATAACTAACATGCAAATTTAATTAAAGAAACTGAATAATATAAGCTACATAAACTCTTAGAACCATGAGCTGGTGGTTAGAGCACTTGACTTGCAGTCTGTGTGATGTGGGATTGAATCTCATCACCAAACACGCTCACCCTCTCAGCCATGCGAAGCGTCATAATGTGAGTCAATCCCAGTATTCTTTGGCAAAGAGTAGCCCAAGAGTTGATGTTAATGTTCCTTCTTGTTTATCACTTCAAAATTAGAGGCGGCTAGTGCGGTTAGCCCTCAAGTAGTTTTACACACAATTTAACTAACAAACAAACCTACATCCTATTTATTATTTGTAAGATCCAGCTAGATTTCCACACAATAATAGTACAGCTTTCACAAGTATTGCATTTTGTTCTCAGTATGTTTTTCAGTTGCTGAATACAAGAATATGCTCAGTAAACTGCATGAAAGCATTAGATATCTTACAACAATAATATTAGAGAAATGCATGTCTAACAAGCATAACTTGTGTATGCCTGAAAATGGCCTTGTAAGAATCTCATTTTTTGGCATATCCTGATTCATTGCAAACCCATACAGAGATTTACACTTTGGCATTATCTGGATGACATTCAGCTAGTAACTATGAGTAGTTGGTTAAATTAAATGTAATGAAAAAATGTTTTTGAACTTATTGTTGCAGGTTTAAATCTAAAATTTAATTAAGATTTAAGGGACTTTTCTAAATGGACAGTTTACATATAGATTGAAAAAAATTATATATATATATATATTATGATAGTATGACTTTTGTAAATCCTATTTTGTAGATGTTTTCAAATTATGCAGTTCCAAAGTAAAACACTTGGTTGTTGGTTATTAGAAATCAGATGTTGGGTCTCATGTACAAATAATTTAGTACAAATCTTCGTTATTACGTTCACAGGCCAACATCTTGTATTGCATGAGTAAGACAAGGAGTGGCAGTGTTATCAAGTTTATTCAAGGAAAAATAAACATCATGACATCCTGTACATCAGAAACAAGCATGCTGTAGTAGTTGTCTAAAAAGGATTTTTTAAATAAAAGTACTGAAATGCCACACACCCAATTTTTATTCGTTAAACACAGTTTAACAGTTTTATTCGGGTGTAACTTTAAATTTTAACTCACTGATTGACTTGAACCATTATCATCACTGGGCAAGGTTTTTGTTTTTGCCAGTGGCAGCTTAATGGAAGCATTGGGCATGGATTTGGATTCCGTATTTTGTCACACTTTACCCATAAAAACTGTGAAAAAAAATTTATTTTCCATTATTAAACTGAAATATGTTTAGTTGCCATGATATATGTTGAACTTTTTTCCAGAACTACATTTAACTGTTAAAGTTGTGAAAATGGTTATTTGTTGCGTTACGGAATCTTCATAGTTTCTTCCCAGGTCCTACTAATCAATATCAAGAGGCAGTTGTCGAAGCCTTCAAGCATGCATGGAAAGGATACCGAGAGTATGCATGGGGTCATGATCATCTGAAGCCAATCTCCAAGTCTTTCCACAATTGGTTTGGTATTGGACTCACATTAATTGATGCTCTCGATACTATGTATATTATGGGATTGAAAGAAGGTATGTACAGTATATATATAGAGAGAGGGAGCAGTTTTTTTACCCAACTTAAAAATCTACTTACATATTATTGTGCAGATTTTAAGAATATGGTGATTTTTGTAAAAACTTACACTTGAGGAAAAATAAATCGTTCCTTAAGTTAATAGAAAAAGATTCTTATTGGAGCTTTTCCAAAATAAAAGTTATTATAGAATTGTAGGTTGATTAAAGGGCTCAATGTTTGCAAGAACTTAACATAATTTGCTGCTTAATTTGTTTTATTTTGTTATGTAATATATAGCTAGTTTCATTTAGATAATGCTGGAGGGAAAAATGTGATGTCTATAAAGATAAATTTAAACTATAAAAGCAGCACAGTTTATATGATTTGATTTGATTTTTTAAAGTTAATATATATTTACATCTTTAACTTTTTTCTTGTTCAAACAATCATCTCTTACTGTTAAAATATTTAAATCTTGGTAATGAAATAGCTTAGGGGACTTACTAATGGATAAGTTGTTTCAAGAAGTTTGTTGGGTATTACTCCAAATGCTTGGTTGAATGTTTAAGTTCTTGCACCAATTTCTTCAAAATGTACACAAAATGGATTAAAATTCACTTATATAAGTTCTTTTTTTAACAAATCTTATAATCTTATAAAGTGTAAACAAAATTAATTCTTTATCAAGAATTATTGAGAATGCGAGGCACTTTATTATTTTTTACAGTTAATCAATCCACTGTTAAATCAACACTTTAGTAGAGTCCAAATTGTTTTAAAATTTTACACTCAGCATGATCGGCCATTCCTGCAGTATAATTCTTCTTCTTTTTTTTATGTTTCTGTTATTTACTCTGCAGAATAATGAATACTTACTCCTTATTACACATAATTACTCGTGTTCAATTGTATAAATAATTTTAACTTCATTGTAATAATTTGTTTATTTGTTATAGAATTTCAGGAAGCCAGGGAATGGGTGGCTAATAAGTTAGATTTTAATATCAACAAAGATGTGAATTTCTTTGAAACTACAATTCGTGTACTGGGTGGACTTCTAAGCACATATCATCTGTCACAGGACAAAATGTTTTTAGAAAAAGCAGTAAGTATTTGTAATTTTATTTCAAATTGAGAATTTTCAATATTGTAAAAAAAAAAGAGCCATAAACAGTGAATGTTATTGTGAGCTAGAAAAGGCATTGCAGTCATAACCATCACTGTAAACTATTTCAACCCTGACGTACTAAATATAAACATTCTCTGTTAATTTTCAGTGTTTTCAAGAATGGTTAAAATAGAAGTACAACTTCTTAGTTATTATTGAAGCAAGTGGTAGAAACATTGCCATGGGTTATCATATATGTAATGTTTCCTAATGAAACCTTTGCTTCATTTGTTGTATATGTATATAAATATATTTACTACATTACCAAAGTGTATTAAAACAGCATACCTCCACCTAGTAATGGACCAGTTCTACTAAATTTGCATACAAACCATATAATGCACTGCTGTATTGGCTTCATAAAGGTTAACAGCTTCCACAGCTGGAGTAATAATTCCCTAAGGAAAGGTTCTTACAATCCATGAAGAGGGAATGTGTTGGATCCATCACTCATCATATGAGTGTCCAAGAAATTTCAATCCACCAAATCCACTGTGGTTAGTGTGCTAAAGAAACAGGAGGCCACTGGATGTTCTGATGTAGGACAATGGGCTGCCAACCTAAAGTTAATCACTTCTCAGTTCGTGTGAGCTTTGATACGTATAAGAGAACTAGACATCTGGTACAAAATGAATTTCCCGTGACTGCAAGCGATAACATCCACTGTGGTTAGTGTGCTAAAGAAACAGGAGGCCACTGGATGTTCTGATGTAGGACAATGGGCTGCCAACCTAAAGTTAATCACTTCTCAGTTCATGTGAGCTTTGATATGTATAAGAGAACTAGACATCTGGTACTAAATGGATTTCCCGTGACTGCAAGCCATAACATCCACTGTGCACAAGGAGCTTGTACCACTTGACATCACTAACTGACTGTAGCTCAATAAACTGCTTGTCACAACCATTAATACAAGGCTTCAGCATTGAAATTATGACTGACAACAAGAGAACTATCATGTGGAGTGATGAAAGTAGACTAGTCGTTATTTACATTGGAAAGATTAATCTGGTTTGGCAGAAACCTAGAGAACACTTTGGATATAACTGTGTCATCCTAACCATCATGTGGAGTGATGAAAGTAGACTAGTCATTATTTACATTGGAAAGGTTAATCTGGTTTGGCAGAAACCTAGAGAACACTTTGGATATAACTGTGTCATCCTAACCATCATGTGGAGTGATGAAAGTAGAGTTAAAGGAATTCCGATGTAAATCAAAGGCTCCAGTCCTGTCATCAGTTAAAAGCACAGTAATCGAAATTCTGAACAGTGAATCAAATGTGTCTTGTTAACTTGACCAAAACTCATTAACAACATATTTAAGTTATGTAATTTATTTTATTATTTTCCTTTTTGTAATGTTATCTTTACTTGGAATAGTAAATCTCTTAGTTTCATTTACTACTACTTAAATAACATCAAAATAACTAACATCTCCCATTATTATAAAATCATACATGAAAATGGTGTTAGTACTCAAATGAAAGTGATTTAAAAGCCTCCAGTTATTATTGCTTATTTTTAAAGGTGAATTTATTCTGTTTTCTTTGTTGCTTTATGTTTCAAATTGGACTAAATGTGTTTCAGACAAGAATAGTTGTAAGTTTGTCAAAGTTAGTTATTGATGGGTGTTTTTCCAAATGATGCTTAGCACTTAACAATAAAATACCAGTTGCAGAATTTTATTGCCATTGGAAATATATGCAACCTACTAACTCTGAAGCCCCCCAGTGGCACAGCGGTATGTCTGCGGGATTACAACGCTAGAATCCGGATTTCGATACCCGTGGTGGGCAGAGTACAGATAGCCCATTGTGTAGCTTTGTGCATAGTTACAAAACAAACAAGCTCTGATGAAAATAACTTTCTATTTTATATCAGATTTTTACTATTACAGAAATTCACTTCTAGAAGGAGAATTTCTATTGCAAATTGAATTATTCATGATGAAAGAATTAGCACAAACAATGACGAAAAAAAGTACAAATAAAAAAATTCCGAGTGCTTTTAAGTAATTGAATATTCTTCTTCAGGAGCAAATTGAATTAGATGCTGCTTATCTTCTTCCAGATTTTAACAACATTATTCTAAATAATGCATTGTTTTTCATCAATAATATTAGAAAACATCACTTGTGAGATTATTATAAATATTGAAATTAAAAAATATATTCTTAAAAAGCTCTTGCAATATCCTATTCATGAAAAAATAACTATCATTAGCATATTTTGATTGTTCATATAAGGTAGAGCATCACATTATTTCAGTGTTATTTTTACATCATTACATAACAATTTAAATGCTGTGAGCTTTGTGACAGGTGGACATTGCCAACCATCTGATGCCCTGTTTCAAGACTAGATCAGGTGTTCCATATTCTGATGTTAACCTGAAAACTGGCTTTGCTCATGCTCCTCTT